GCACCTACCTATAAATGACAGTGTAAATTTGCCACAGGTCTGTGGCTGTGCTTGCAGCACAGCCCTGCAGCACTTTAGTTTTCAATTAGTAAATTCTGATGGTACTATAGCAGTCTGGTCACAGCTGCTTCAACATCAGGTGAATTGCAAAATTCACTGGAGAAGATGTGCACTTCCTTGGGTAATTGGCATTTTGAGAGCTTTACAGGGAAGGCAGTGAAGACATTGTATCATTAATAAAATAAAGACAATGCTTTGGGGATTCCAGCATCTGACATAATTTACATTTGGACCTCTGGTCTCCAGAAATGCAGTTTTTAATAATCTTTTTATTAATGATGTATAGAATGTTTTCCTTGTTTTTCAACACACTAGCTGAATTATTGCATTAATTATGCACCTTCAGGGATTTTTACTATTTGATGCATTCTGAATGCCCTTCAGAGAGAGGGAGGTCTGCAAATGCAAAGTCTGATGAAGTTTCTCTGATGGAACTGGGAATTTCTCCTCTTACTTTTGCAATTGCTTAAATTGAATGCTGTCTTTGGTGCAAATGAACAAAATGCCACTGGGATAATAGACAAATGTGTCCTTTTTTTATAAGAGGAAAATGTTACTAGTAGCTGGGCAAAACAGTCCTTGCCTTAAATGCCTGCATTTTGGCCAATACAGGTCTTTAAAACAAAAATCCTGTGTCCAAACTTGAGCATGCTCATACAAATACTTGACATACAAAGTGGCCTTTGGAACTGGTATTCCACCAAATGAAAACTCCTACTTTTCTGTTGCTGTTTGACTGTTTGATGGTCCGGGCCTTAGCAGTGTAGGGGTTGCTGTTCTCTTGCTTCAGGAACAAATAACAGGTAGACTTGAGGCTCCTTTCCTCACTTTTTTCTCTACCCTCCCATTTTCCATTGATTTTAAAGGATGCTGAAACATTTCCTTGGGGACTGCAGTCCTAAAAACAACCCCAAAATGAAACCAAAGTATATTGACTTGCTCAGTGTGTTTTAAAGTGTCTTTTACTTCAGTGTCTGTCAAGGGAGACCTTTAAGAGAAATCATATTCTTCACAATCTGCACTGAAGTCTTAAGATAGCATTTTTAGTCAAGTTAGGAAGTCCATCTGTACTCAACTTTCCACCAAACTCCTCTAGTTTATTAAATTCCCATTAAGTTTTGCATGAATTATTCTTAAACCTGAGATGTTCTTGGAAGGTGGCAACTGTATGAGAGAAAACAAAAGTTTTGTAAGATAGCTTGTCAGAGGAGAAATTGGCAGTAATTTGAGTTAATTATGACAAAAATATCAATGGATTCTTCAGACATTTTCTAGAGGGATGTTATTTTTCTTCATAACATAAGGGCTCATCATTTGCTCCTGAAATTAATAGCTCTGTTTTTATTTTTAGCATTCATAATTAGACATTAATTTTCTCTCTGAATGCTTACATTTCACATTCTACAATCATTCCCTTTTGATCAAGTACTACTCTAGATCTCTGTGAGAAAAAATCATGACAATTAAGTACATTTGAAGTGTTATTACTTTATCTGGGTGATTTATTTTTAGATTCATGTGGAGCACGGTCCCATCCATGCTGAAGTCTCTGTCAGACAGAGACAACTCAACAGGAATTCCAATACAGGTTTCCACGCAACGTCACTGCACAGGTCTAACCCTCACCAGCTCTTGCACAGATCTTTATGCCTTTGAAAGTAACTTCTGCCATATATCTCAAGCATTGTTTTAAACTGCCCCATATTTTCTTGTTATTTTTTCCTTCTGTTTCTATTTCTGCTTGTCAGTCCTTAGAGGCTCTTCAGGACAAGGACCACTGCATTGTTGAATTCTGTAATGCACCTTTCTCATTAGGAGCATAACCACAAAGAAACCAGTTTGTCTGGTCTGTAGAGAGTGTGTCAAAGTGTGGTGGTAGTAGCTATGACTGGGAAGTTATTAAGTACATATCAGCAAAATAGTGGCATCATTGATCTCTCTATTTTGAGTGCCATCTTCCATCAACCAAGTAATAGGATCATTTGTGAATACATGAGACAAATTCTTTCCTGTTCATCTAGGTGTGCTGACTAGTTCTCCAGAAGCTAGCCTTCAGAACAGCCTGTCATCTAGGCAACTGTTAGGAACATTTTACGGTGTTATGGGATGTGCAACCAGAGAGATGATAAAACTTGGTTTCTCTTTAGTACTGCTTTCACCTATATGTGTCTAGGACACAGGTGATAGGCTTGAACATCTTCTACTTTCTTCCTGTAACACACTGTAAAGGTAAAAACCATGTTATTCTTCCTAGATTAGTTATAGAACAGAAGGTCCTGAAGCCTTGTTTGCAGAAGACGACTTCACAGGAGAAGACATTGGGGTGAGAAACACATAATGCACTTGCCACTTCACTCTGTAACTTCCTAGGAGAGCTCCAGCTGTGTGATTACATTGCAGGTCCTTTGTGCCAGAAGGCTGTGTGCCAGAGCCCTGTCCTCCTAACAGCAGGGACCCACGTCTGCATGAACCTCATGCAGAGCCCTGCGAAGAGCAGGTGGAGCCAGATTTCTGTGTGTACTTTGGGAATTACTCTTACTGGGTTTTGGAAGATTTGGTAACAGATGTTTTAAAAGGATGTGCAGGCCCTGGACTAAGCATTCAGGATGTATTTATGGGCAGTTGCAGTGAGAAGTCTTGCTGGCATTGGTAATCCCCACTGGTCATGTAGTTTACCTGGTTCCAAAGCATAAGGGTGCAGTGATGTATTGCAGCACCTTTAATTTAGAGTTTGATCTTTGATCCATCTAAACCTGTGATAAAACTGTCTCTTTGCAGAAGGGGAAACCTAGTGTTTGGGGAAGGAAAGCAGACTCCTGTAAGCTTTTATATTGTATTATGATTTTTAGGAAATATTTTGAACACTTTAGTGTAATAAATAAAATAAATAGAGCCAATAGGTTGCCCTGCACCTTTATGATGAAGAGGGAAATAATCAGTAGATCCCATACTCCAGAAGGCTGAACACATTGGATGTCAGCCTGAAATAATGAATTCTGCTCTGGGCTGCACAAGAACCAGTTTCTAACTGGCAGCCGTTTCAGGTAGGAGCCTCTTGTGCAAAGAGAGAATTTCAGGGGAATGAAACCCTCATTTTTCAAGGAATTGCACTTCTTTACTGACTCATTTGTTCCTCACTCTAATGTCATTGTACAGTTCTCCATACTGTTAGCTTTCTTTTTTTAAATTAAGGTTTTACTTGTGTGTTGGCAGCCTGCATTTAATGTGGCTGGGGTAAAAAATTGTACACCCAGCTTTTATAATGCATCCAATTTACTTCTCAGGTTTCATTTCAAATGCTCTTGCTGAAGGGCTGAAACTCATCAAAATTATTAATACAAAATTTTTAATGTAAGGAAATTGTAATGATTTAAGTACTGGGAATAATACATGCAAGTTTGCAGGCTTAGAAAATATCTTTGGTAGAAAATATCTTCCTCCTAATCAGGGTGTGGGTATACATGCAAAGATACATGAGTGGCACAGGAAAAATCTCTGCTATTTTCCTAGGCAAGCAGTGCAATACAGCAGTCAAATGGAAATTAGTTTGTTAAATAGAATTCAGAGCAGGTTGTGGTAGCTGCTGGGGAGGTTATACTGACAAGGATCAAGATGGGTAGTTTATCTGAAGTTTGTATTTGTCTAAATTCCTGAATAATTTTAATGTGATTCAGATGTATAAGGCAATTAAATGCGATGTTCCACCACCAGATAGCACAGTCTGTGTATCATCAGTAAGTTTAAAATGAGCCCTAAAGCTTTTATAAGATTTGGTGTGTGGGATGTCCTAGGATGGCTAGAGGCATGAGTTGAATGTACTGTAAATAAACCATGGCATGAAAACTTTCACTAGAGCCCAGAGAGGAGTGAAAATGCTGATGAATGTCAAAATGATAACTTTTGAATGCAGTGGGTAGCTCCTGCCTCACACACGTAGGGCTGGAGCAGAGAAAAATTGATTAATTCAGCTACAACAGTGAGGGAGAAGCCTGACTTTGACAGCACCATTAATTAGGAAAAATTTTCAGAGGCAAGTTGAGCTATATATTTTTTTTTTCATCTTTTTTTCTACATTTCTGAGGAGCTGCTGCCCTAGTGCCTACTCCACAGATGCAGGGCTACAGCATGATGATTTTCTCAGGTCTCCCCATCAGCCTGTGGGAAAACTGAGAGCTGATCCTCTCCTGGTTCTCATGCTCTATTGCTTGGACAACAGGCAATAGGTTCAGCAACAATAATGGTAAACCTAACTGCAGCATGAGGCTCTGGGATGTCCTCAGGTTTAGTTGCTGTTTTCTCCCTTGTTCTATGATGTGTCTCACTTCATTCTGTTTGTTGTTTGTTGATGTACAATCCTCAGCCAGAGTTGTATACCCCAAGACACTGTACACATGCCTCTTTCTCTCTTGTGCTCCTGCTTATTTTTTACCTCCTTTTCCACCCCCAGTATTCACAGCTATGAGGTCCCTGCATTGTGCATGCCACGAATGTCAAAACCTGCCCAGACAGCCCACGGTACCTTTATCACTGATGCAATGAGGACATGTTCCCATGTGGAGTACAACTAATGTTACAACATCTGTATAGCAACTGAGAGCCTTAAAGGAACCATCCTAGATTGTACTGGTGTAAATGTGATCAAAATCTGACTGTCACCAGGCTCTGAAAGTCCTACTGAAAAAAAAGACTTTGCTTGTTGCCATCTGTCAGCAATACTGCATTCACGAGGCTTCTTGTAGGCTCTTGCAAGTTAGCCACCTGCTGAAGAGAGTGAGTGGGCTCTGCAATGAAGTGGGTGTCTCTGGGAATTACTTCCTTGTTAATAGCTGTACCAGTGCAGTGAACTCTCAGAGCAGTCCTGCCTCTTTGAAGCCTTCCTCTTTTTCTTTTTTTTCTTTTTTTTTCCCCAGGAAGAGCTGTTTCTTTCAGCAGTTGCGTGAAGCAAGAGAATGTGAAAAGACTCAAAGCAATCTGTAAGTATCAATGTGTAGCTAGCGTGGGTGGCTCTGCTGGAAGTCGGTGCAGATGTGTCAAGGTTGTTTGTAGCAAGGATGGTGCCTTTTTCAAGTAGATCTTTTGTGTGAATTGATAAATAGCATTGGCTTGCAAGCAAGTATAAATATAAACTGAAGAGTTTTTAAAATGTGGTACCTGTGATGTCAGTGCCTGTAGAAACATGAGGTAGAGCCCAGCGGCCTTATAGTAATTTCTGAATGCTATACACTGAGACATTTGCTCTGTTTCAGTTTAAGGAAGCTTTGTAAGGAGAAAGGACTAGCAAGAGCAAGGGAGGGCCTACAGTAACAAGCTATCTGCAAACACTGGAGGGTACCCAAAAGCGAATACCAGATTCCCTGACACTGAGGAGCTCTGTCTTTCATCTCCTGCTAAGCCTAGGGGACTGAAAGGACTACGGTTGGAATCAGAGGCTGGAGCGGTTTCCACAAAGACTCTCAAGATGCAGGGGAATTTCTTGGTAACACTGTAGTGAAGTGCAGGCAGCCACATACACATCAAAAGAAATCGTTCTAGCTGAGGTGGGTCTGTGAGAGGGTGAGCATGCATTTAGCTGTTTAACTATGTTTTCAGACTTAAACAACATGCTTGGCCTCAGAAAGATCAAAGTATACCATACTTGCTCTTGATCTTAGAGAAAGGAAGGGGACTACTTGGACTTCATCCAATGTGTGAGGTATGCTTAGCTGTGCAGTGAGGTATTCTAGCCCAGGGTCTGGCCTATGAATAAGAAATTTTAGATTTCATACCCAAAATGAAAAAAGCTAAGGATAAGAAAACATAATATTTGGTAAAGCTATGCAGGTAATGCAATATGCATGGCCTATGCAATTACAATCAAGAGACTGTTATGTCAAGCGCTGTATAATCAAGTAATAAGAGACAATCCATCCTTCATACACTTACAAGATAGAATTATACTTACTTTTCTTAAGGATAAAATACAAATGTTGGACAACCTAACTATTTGGCAGGGCTTGAGAATTATATGTGTATTTTCATGAGCTGCAAGGTAGGTTGTTTGAGTGGAAGCTACATTTTCCCTCTAAACAAAGCAGAAATTTATAGCTCTAACTAAAATAGTCTTAAAAGTGAGAGTCAAGTGGAGTTATGAGGAGCTTAAGCAAGAAAACAAGTTTAATTGGTGCCGTCTAGAGTGCTAAAAGGTGCATTTAAACTTCATCAGCAATAGAGAATGAAAGAAAACTGAAAGACAGTCTAAACCTATTTTAAAGAAAATACTTGTTCAGGGTTTTTCAAAATGTGACTTCACTGGATTAATTTTGTTTCCACACTGTGGCTTTCTGGATTTTGAGATCCCAGCCGTGAGCTGTTTACTGGCATTCTTTTCAATTAGACCATTTCTCCTTGAGTGACAAATGTTCTTCTTTTAAACTGGTTAAGTCTCAGGGTTGTTTTTCCCTACTGACACAAGTCAGGTCATTGTAGGCAAGACTGACAGCTCTAGCAAAAAATGCTGTATCACTGTAGCTTACAAAAGACGTTTTATTTTTCCTCTTTGTAAAGCGGTTTTTGGGGGAGGAAGCCAAAATGAGAATGAAGAAAATAGTCTCTGTTGCTAAAAGCTTTTCTCTGGGACTTCTTCATAATGTACCTGAAAGATCAAGGGAACACAGTAAATGCTGTGACCAGAATGTTTTACTGCATTTTGTGCTGACACAGCCATCATCCTTTCTCAGCCTCCATTCACTTATCTATCCTGCAGCTTGTCAGGAAAATTTAAGCTGGTCCAAAACAGTGAGGTGCAAGTTCTCAGCTCAGTTACACATTTCCTCTGGGCAGCTCCATTGTGTGTATTTCTGGGCAAAATTTGAAAAAAATCTGTTTTATTGTACATGAGCACCAATGTCTTAGAAATATTTTGAAATTTTAAGAGTTTAGATGCACAGGGTAATTTTAGAATTTTCTTTCTTCCTTCCAGTTTCAGTTGTTGCCTTCCTCACCTTCAGGCTATTGTGGACTCTGAAAGCACAGGTGAGTGGGGATGAATTAGTAAATGATGATTCAGCTCCTGTGCTAAGACTGAGCTTGAGAACTTGAGCTTCATTCTTTATCTATTTCTTAAGATACAAACACAAGGCCAAGATCCTTAAAATCTGTTAAAACTAAAATAACTAGCTTCTTACTGTCTCACTGGGATTAGGCATCTTCGTGTAACTCTCTAGGCTTTGGGGATAAGAGCATTTCCCTCACTTATGGAAGGTAAAGACTGTGAGGTGCTGAAGGTCCATTGAAGTAAACTGTCAAATTACGGTCAAGTAAATAATAAACCCTGATTTATCTCCCTGCCAAAAATAATCCCACCAGAGTCAACCCTTGTAATTCCTCAGTTAGAAGTGCTGCTACTGTTGTCTTTACCTGCTCAGGTCAGTGGTGCACTAACTTCCTTCAGGTGAAAGGTTGCATGCTGTCCAGACTTTAAGTGTAGGGCTTCGTCCTCATACCACCCTACATAATTGGTGTCCAGGCTAACAGGCTTTCTACCATAGCAGAAAAGCTAAATAAGGGTTTGAATGGGAGCCTGCTGAAATTCATAACCCTTACGTGCTGAGAATACTATTTATTCCTTGCGATCTGTTTTAGGATGTCACATGTGAAGAACTGGAATGGGGAAGGATGCTGAGTGACACTGACATTACAAGTATAATTACTTTGGGACTTGCTGCTGTTTCTCTTCTAAATCATAAAGCTGTCATTGCTCAGCCAGGTATAGTAAATACTGGTGTGGCTCTGCAGCTTGTATGGGTGTCATCTCTGATTCAGAAGTTATGAGGAACAAATCTAGATGGGTGAATAGATTGAAATATGAATTAATTAATGCTGACTTAAAAAAATGAGAAGTTGCCTGAATATTCATAGTTAGAGTATTAATATATATATATGTTAGTGATGGCTGTGCTGCTGAGCAGGCATTTCTCTCCCACCAGGGATGTTTTCCCGTGACTGCACCTTGTATAAGTCACAGTTTTGGCCCTTGCAGATAAAGACATTCTCCTTATTCTGGGATGTAGTAATTGTCTCCAAGGATGACTCTTGCCTCAGAAACGAGCAGCAGGAGTGGGAGGGACCTTGTCACATCTCATAGGTGTAGGATGTGGGGCTGTCAGCAGCCTTGAGTAGCTCCCATCTAGAAGAAAGCAGAGTGCACTTCTCTGCAGCATCTATACTGCAGAAGCCTGTAGAAGAGAAAGCTCATGGGGCTCTGAATAGCAGCATTCCAAAACCTGCGAAGAGGTCATCAGGAAGACACGGTGGCCTTAGACAACAAACTCGTGTCTAAGAAAATATTGTGGGATAAAAAGCTGTTTGGGGACCACTGATGCTCCCCATCTGAGCCTTTTGTCTACCTCTGCTGCAGATGGATGCTTTACTCCTATATCTCTCTGGGTGTCTGACATACAGCAAGCTGCAACTTCAGTTATACTTTTCAAGGCTTTAGGAAACTTTGACAGTGTTACATGGCAGTAAAGATGGTGTTAGAATCCTGTTTCCTTTGTTATTCCCAGAAAGGTGGAATTCTTATCTGTTCTGTCCTACTCTTCAGAGGTTTGTGGGGATTTGGCTTTGTGGGTATTTGGACATGTATAGGGAAAGTTATTTGAGAAAGAAGGGATTTACAAGGTAAAGTCTTAATAAATCTGTTTGCACTTTGAAACCTAAATTTAAGACCTGTTTGTTAAAATTGCTTTACTGTGGGGAAATGTCATTTTAACTCTTTTGAGGCAATTAAGAAGTTATGGGCTTTTGTAGGTAAAAGTCCAGCAGTGTAGCTTGGCATGAAAATGCTCAGTAGCTATTAGTTGGAGACAGAGTATATCTACACTTTGCTGCTGTAAAGGATTAGGATAAATTGCTTATATTCAGACAAATTCTCATGGCACTTAGTGGATCTGCAGATGATGGTACATCTACAGGTAAAGATACAACCACATCACATAGGACTTTGCTCAGCTGCTCACTTAAATACATGATCATCAGGTCATGTTTCTCCTCAAGACTTTATTACTTCATATAGAATGTGCATATAGAGGAATTAAAATACCTGAGAAGTGATAATAGTGGCTTTTTAAGGGAGACAGCCCTTGGATCCAAGTGTTATAAAAGATTGTTTACTGAAATTGGAGAATATTTGAATTGAAACTTTCTCAAGCAAGGAGAAAAAAAGGGACCTATATTTCCACAGATTAAAAGTGTAAAACCAGCAAGTGAAAAGGGCAAGACTGAATGTCAGTGGAAGTGCATTCACTGCGCAAGCAGCAAAACCGTTTATTGCATAAGGATTCAAGTTACTCTTTTTAGCTTCAGCTAAACAAAACCTCTCAATGACTAGGATAGCTTTGCTAACACAGTCAAAACACCTAAGAGTAAACAACTTGAGAGAGAGGCTGTTAAAGAATGACTGAATTGTTATGTTGTTTTATAACAATGAGGTTTTTAAAAAAGACATGGAGGAAAGATGGCAAGACCAACGAAAATCTTCTGATAATGTTGATATAAGACCATGTAGACAGGAACTGCCAAGTTTTAGTGCATACAGATCTGGCTGACAGTCATTAGAAGATGCTGCTTACACTGAGAACTGTTGTTAGACCCAACTTACTTGTGAAAAGTTGACTTAGCTCTTTTCTGAAAAGTCACATGGATCTCTGAGGCAGGAACTGCTGTATGGTGGTTACAGGCTTACAAAACCTGCTACTAAGGAGCCTCAGATCTGTTGATCTGGGGAGACACTAGAGCCTAACAAACCTGCAACTGAAATTCTGTGCAGGACTTGAAAAAGGCATAGCTGACAACAAATCCTCAAACTTACCAGTGACGGAAGAAGAATTCAAAACAACCCTACAGGGCTCAAGTCCCTCATGAGCAAACCCAAAGCTCTTTGAGGACATCCAGATGCTACTGTGTAAGCGCTGAAGAAATTCTAGGCAACACTGAGGGGGAGTATATAAAAATTGCTTTTCCAATGCACTGATTTCCAGTAGAAAACTCCCATTCTAGAAACACGGTCTGGCATTCTTTGCATCAAAATGCAAATCTTTAGATTTGGCTATATGAAAATACATTTTGTTTGAGTAAGGCTTTTCTTAAGGATGTCTCTGACCAACTACCTACATTTATTGAGAATTTTAGTGCTGGGAGCATCACTCACACAGTTGCTGTAGTCTGCATAGTCCTCTCCTTTTCTTGTACTGCTTTTTGTACAGTGGGTTTGAACATCTCAGTGTTCATATGAAAATATTCTGGTTTTCAGCAATAGAAAGGTGAGGAATGTGTTGCTTGAAAAGAATTAGAAAGAGCTAGAGACCTGAAGGGAGTATCTTTCAGGGAAAAACTGACAGGACTGCATCTGCACAATTTAAGCACTATTTAAGGGGAGATAATAGTCTGTAAGGATTACAAGGTTGTAAACATGAATGGCAAATAAGAATTCTCTAAGAAAGTCCAAAGGATGTCAAATAGTATTTTAAAATTAAACATGGGAAAATTAATCTAAGTAGCTATATAATCATGTTCTCTGATAGATGTTGGAGCGGAAATTCTTTTTAATTAAAAGTGCTGGAGGGGGAAAGGATTATTTTGATAAATGTTCTAGTTTGTGGGAAGAAGTTAGAAACTGTTGAATTGAAAACTACCTATTTTGTGGCTTGTCATAATTTAAACCCAGAAATATGGCTATTTCTAGACTTCTAAAAAGTTTAAAAGAAAGTCATATGTGTTATTTAAAATTATTGAGATTTTTTTGCTTTTTTACTTTTTAGTCTTAATTTGGAGTGATAAAAACTATTTTCACATCTCAAAAACCACATTTACTTTTCATGATTTGATAATACTTATTCACCTATGTTCCTAATGAATTGTATCCTAGTTCCCTGGTATCTTTTTCATATTCTTATCTATTTTATTATATGATTTTATGTGCTTCTCTCTGATCTCTTTCAGCCCCCTTTGTTTTTCCCTGATCAGTGTTCTGTGTCATGTACATTTTGCTTTCAGTTTTCATTCATTAAAATGACATTTCTCATCTTCTGCTTCACCGCACTGTTGAGGACTTGCCACTTCTTTTCCTCACCCTTTCTATCCTTACTCATGGAAAGTGAAATAATTTATCAAAGCAAAAATCCTGCTATAGGTACCTATAGACCCTCCATGTGGAATTTGGCTACTTCAGACATTACCTGGAAAATTGAAGTTTTGTAACAACATGGAGCTATCTTGGCATTTTTATAATTCTTAAGAGAAAATCGAACATTTATGTCCTTGGGAAAATCTATTTTGAGGTAAATTATTAGAAACTAGAATGAAGAGGTCTATGACACTTTTCTTTGGTTGAAGATCTATGTTTTGTGTTTCTGGAGTCATTTGTCATTAAACAAACATAAGAGTAGGGTCAAGTTCATCAAACCACACCTGGTTGAATGAAAAATTGAAGTAAGCTGTTCTGAGGACAATGTTTTAAGTGCTCCTCTCCATCAGAAATCTCCTAAAGAAAGACAGTGCTCTGAGGAACACTGCAGCAGAGAGGCCTAGCATCCCTTTCATCTGGGTCAGTGTATCTTCACCCTCTGAACAAGATGTCGTTGATTTGCTCTCCCATCTGCTGCTTTGTCTGTTTTTGATGATGTTCAATGTCCCAAGAACTCAGTCACAATTTAATCTGTACTTGGCCCCAGCAGGATCTCTGATGGCACAACAGAGCCCTCCAAAAGTTACAGTGCACAGCAGTGAGTTTTGAGAGACCAAGTGAAGGCAAGTGCGTATAGTTGGTTTTAAATATCTCCAATTACATACTCCAAAAATCTCTATGGCAGGATTTTTGTAATGATTTTCTCCCAGTATGAAAACTGAAGGTAAGCACAAAACTAAGACACCACACAAAGAAAATATAAAGCTACTGTGAAAAACACCTAGTGCCTTTCTAGCCTCATGCCTCAGGTCTTTCTCTGTGGTTATCTCAAGAAATCTAAACTCAATGCACTGAAAAAATAGATAGAAAATCCTTTATTATAATCTTTCCAAGCTCTTTCTGTTTGGGAAAATTAAACCAAGCCATAGTTAAACCCATAAACCTGAGAAAATTTAGGTAATTTATTTAAACTTTTTTTCTCACATTCATAGAAAATCTGCAAACTTTCTGTCAGTTTTTCTAAATAAGGAGACATTAAAATTAACACATTAAAACTGAAAAGCTTTTCTAGCCATTTTGATTGATTCAGATGAAATTTGTTGGAGGGTTACATATTGTTCTCTAACAGAATTCATTATAGAAAAATGTCACAAGGTTATAGACTATTTTACAAGGAAACCCCAGTACTAATTGGCTGAAAAGACTGATTTCAATCAACATATTAGTGCACATGAACTGGGAAAAAGCATCAAGTGAAGCATAGAAGCAGACTTTGAAACTGCAGCAATATAAAAGAATATAATAGAACAGGGTATTAAATAGTCAGACATAATATCTAGCAGAAATTTAGTTTTGTGTAATTGCCAAAATAGCAGTTTAGTCTCAAATATGAACGGTATTATAAAAGGACTAGTCTGATACTGCATTCCAGTTCATAAATATCACTATTTACTCTTCCATAGCTTACATATTTTCTTAGGTGAGAGAACAGTTAATTTTCACCTCTTGCATACAAATCCTTCTATTTGTTGACCACAGAAATTAATGTCTTGCCTTAGACATTGTCTAAGTTTTATATACCTGAATGAGTCAACAGTGAAGGTTTTTTATATGTTTTCTATCTTAGCATTCCAAAGGTGAAATAACAGCTTTTCTGGATCTCCAGGTCTATTTACTGCCTTTCAGATTCTGCCATGAGAAGCAGCTGGCCTTTGGAAGATTTATTCTATGGGGTTTTTTTATGGATTTTGTGGAATTAACCTGTGGCACGACTTGCTACTCATACTCTGTGTGTGCTACTGCTTTTGTCTTGAAATAAGCCTTGCTTTAGAGTTATGTTGTTCCTTATGTGGGTGATACTATTATCTACCATTGTTCTTCACAATGTGGCTACAGATCTCAAAGGAACTCTACAGATCCGATGCCAGATCTTCCAAACAGCATAGCAAGTACTTGCACACAATAATGGTCCATTTTTTACGTTATCCATGAAGACTACAGAGAGCAATGAGAATTAATGATGCCAGATGCATTGAGTCTGTGGCCTCGTAATTTAATATACTTATGTAGGAAACTAGTATTCCTATAGTCCTGGTTCATAGTTATTTGCCAGGTAACTGCTTTCAGAGAATCCACAGAAAACATATCTTTTCTTAATAGGTATTGAATGGTAGGCCATTAATTTTGCTTTATAAGGAACTAATTTAGACTTCCACAGTGATATCACTGATTACTACCACAGATCGCACTAAGTAAGGTCTTTCCTCATACATAAGCTGGTGAGAGTCAGTATTTCAAGTACAGGACATGTGTTCCATAAAGACAAAAGAATTGTTAAATATTTATTGCTGTAGTCTGCCTCTTACCAAACAGCAATACTAAACCCAGGGAGGAAATCCACATGATTTCCCTTTTTCTCTTTTTTGTTTTTCTCCTCTTCTCCTTTCGCTCTTTCCCTCCTGCTACTGTCCAAGTTATACACTCCTTAATCATGAACTGGTGAAAAACAAAAAACTTGATGGAGGAAATGGAAAATGTACAGGTAAAGCTATGGCTTCTCAGAGCTAGGGGTGAAATTCCCATATGCTGCAGAAGGTCAGACTTTCCTTAAGATTTAGAAAAATTCTTTTGTTTGGAATACCAAGCTATATAGGAAAAAGAGCAGCTGTGGAAGGTAACAGTCCTAAAGACATAAAAGATCGTGTCGAGTATGTGTGTAATGGAGGAGGTAACTGAAGTCAAAAGTTTTCAAGTAGTTTTCAATTTTCTTTTCAGTGTGCAGAGCCTTGCTCAGTGGACAAGCTTGTTGATACACAGTTTTCCTTGTTTACTTTTCACAGGCTGATGAGAAGCCATCCTTCCACACCCAGACTAAGAACTAGTTCTCTGGAACGTACAGAGAAAGGGCAATCTAAACCAGGATCCTCACTCATTAAGTTTTGCTGGATTGATGACAGCCAGAGCAATCCCATATTCTATTGTCCAGGATATGTTTTAAGGAAGGGAAATATACCCCAAAATATCTCCACTGGTGTCTTTTATTAAGTAATGCAAAATACAGTATTAATTATGACACTGCATGCATTTTAGACAATATAAATGCAAGCCTACAGAAAATGTGACAAAGAAACCCTCAATTACTTTTGAGGTAGTATACAAGGAAAAATAGGAAAGCAGAAACACAGTGGATTGAAAGAACAAAATATTAGTATCACTTTGTGCATACATTAGTCACTCATAAATACATTTGTATGAAATAACTTAAGATACAATTCCATTCTTGTTAAAAAATATACTTCTTCAAATTCACCATCTTTGTTTGCTTTGTGGTATTTTATATGACATTTTGTGGTATTTTATCAAGTGGATTTATTTTTTATCATCGCTGTCATGATTTTACCCTTTTCCTCCTAGAGTTCAGGCACGGATGGCCTCATGCACAAAAATAAATAAGAAACCTGCTTGAAGGGAAAAGAATTCTGCTCAAATAGCTTAGCATAGTCTAATAAATACCATTTTGTTTATAAAAATATTTCAGGTTTATAAAAGAGGGAAGGGGGCAGTCTCCCATGTGGAGAGGATGTTAAGTGAAAAGTGCTGTATAACATTTTTTAAGAGATTTTGCTTTAAACATATAGTACCATTATGAATATATATTTTATAATAATCCTGTTTCTTAGAACCTTATTGTTCATTAGAAGTATCAAATGCTCTTTGCTTCCTTTTGCTTGTTGTCTTATTGCCGATTTGGAAGACACTTAGTTCAGAAGGGTTCCGTATAATTGTGCTTTTGTAAGGCTGTCCTTCCGAGTCAAACCAGTACTCCCAGTCCGCTGAAACTGCTGCTGCTTGCTGTGAATACCTGAATGGCTCCCCTGCTCCATGGAAGACTGGTGGATTTCTGAAGCCTCCACTGAACTCTGATTAAGGGATTCTGCTGAGCTGTTGGGGCTCACGTCCACATATTCTCTTTTCAGTACTGGGCTGCTTTCAATGTTTTTGCTACTGCATAACTGGACGGTGATCCTTTCATTTTTTTGGTCTCTTGATTCTTTTGTTTTGTAAGTGGGCAATTTGTCCTGTTTACAGCTAGTGCTGATGTCAATATTTAGGCCACTCTCTGCTCTCAGGAAGCAAGAATCCACAAGTCTGCTTTGGCAGATATCGTCTCCCTCTGAGCAGCTATCTGCTTTATAACTAGCATAGATGGGGCTTGTTCGACTGTCTCCTTTCTTAATAGGGCTGCTGTAGTACTGCTCGGAAAAACTACAGGGTGACAGCCTGTCTGTGTTCCTGTAAGAGTATGCACCAATGTCTTCCACACTCAACTGCCTCCATCGCCCAGGCAAATCTTCTTCTGAAAGGTGGGTGTTCCTGCACTCATTCCTCATTTTCTGATTTGCTAAAGCCTGCTGTGGTGTTATGGCTGAGAAATGAAAAGGTTCGTTTGCATACGGAGGCACAGTCCTTGTAAAAGTAGGTGAGTTCTCATTGTCGTCAGTGGCAAGCTCCATGTGCTGTGCAGGTTTGGACTTGGCAAACCTAGGACTTCCCTGGTGCTCATAACCTGCAGGTGACTTTCTTTCAAATAGTTCATCTCGGTTGCTCATGTAGATTGCTTGCTGAGAGGCTGTCAGTGTGTTGGCTTGGGCATTCTCCTTCTCCTCGGATGTGACGCTGAAGCTGGAATAGGAACTGGAGGTCGGCAGAGAGGTAATGTACTCTGGGAAGGCTTCATGAGAGAAGCTGGAATGGAAACCGTCTTCCTCAACGGTGCTGTCTGTGGAGTTCTGGGACCGCAGGAACCCCATGTCTTTCGCTTGTGTGTCCACACTCTGCCTCCTCTCCCTCCTCCGCTCCTCAGGGCAGTAAAGGGCAGTGTCACTGCAGTAAATGTCTGACTTGTACTGGGGTCTTTGTCCGAGTTTTCCCTCAGAGTCCTGAAAACTGAGATCCTTTGTAGATGGGCTTGATAAGTGTGAAGACAAGCAGTTTGGATCTGGTTTTTCCAGTACTTTGGCAATGACGCAAGTGGGTATGGAATCAGCGTAAGATGTGTGACACAGGGGGACAGAAAGGCTACACCCATGTTTTTCCAGATGGATGCTGACTCTTTCCTGAAAGTCAGATGGCAACTGTAACATAAAGATGGCAAAGGGGAAAGGAGAATAGAGTACATGTCAGTACTGTTGTCTGCTTGGGCTAATACAACATGGATAGATGAGTGCTCTTTATAAGATTACATAGCTCACAGTGATGGCCATAATCTTTGTGCATTTCTGAAAACAAACATGATCTAATTACTTTCATTTATTTACTTAACATTTGGAAATGTTCATCTGCTTCCTGTCATTGAAAGCATTTTGAAACTGAAAGGTTTCCTTCCAAATTAATTCAGGTTGGATAGAAATGATACAAAGAATGTAGAAAGCAGTCTTAAAAAGGCAGGTAGAGAACTGCAGCCTACACCAACACTTTCCAGAGAGTGTGCATGAGTGCAATTTGCATTTGGAATGTGGGGGTACAGAGGTCTCTGCTGGGAAGAGGAAAGACAAGGAAGAGATCTGGTCTATTCTATTTTTCTTTTGCCTTTGAGCTCATCTTGCCTCCAACCCAGTGCCAAATTTGCTGCTGCCCTCCAGCGTCACATTTGATAAGCAATGCTGTTTGAAGAGGTAGGAAAGTTGGTTTCTCTGACACTTACTTAAAACAGTGGTACGTGCTGCTATGGCAGCAGCTGGGAGAAGAAAATCAGACCAGTTTCCTTGCCCCAGCAGTTGGTTATGGGCTTGTCAGATCAACAAATCACATAAACCTCAACAAGTACCCGTCTTCCAGCAGATGCTAGCTGACTGCTTTTTTGGTTTCTTTACTACACTGACAAAAATAAGAGCTGAAGCCTGAATTTACATTATGGTTCCTGTGACGGAGTAGTCAGAATTAATCAATGTCTGCTATGCATCAGAAATTATATAGTTTTTACAGAAAGTCAGGATCAGCTCTGTGGACAGCAGTTGCACCTGCTATTCTGTCATATAGACCAGAAGAGACTAAGAGACCACATTCCTTGGTGTGGCTTGAAAGTCTGGTAGGTAATGTCTATGCAGGTATCACTAGTCATTTTTTATCTGCCTTGCTCATTTCAGATCTCTGTCAATGATCAGACAGGGATATAAGAGACAGCTGCATGATGTTTATCACTCAGCATTTCCTGCTGGAAGTCAGAACTCATGTTTAGACTAAGTTTTGAGTTTGTGACTGTGATAGCTCCCTTGAAATCCATGTTGATTTGCACCACTTAGGAATTTCTTCCTGGCTAAATTTTTATTGACTCAGCACTTTACTATTTTAAGTAGAAATCAAGTTCCTCTACCAAGTAATCAATGGTTATCCTTCTAGCCCTAAGGATCTCACTCCCTCCTTTACTTTGTTTCTCTAGGGAAGTCAACCCCAAAAATGCTGAAGTCATCCCCCTCCCCTATACTTTAGGCAAGAGAAATTTAAGGTGCCTGTTCCTTGTAACCATCTTACATGGTATAGATATACAAGATATAGAGCTCCTCTTTTAGATTCACATTGGAAAGTTTTTGAAGTTGGTTTAATCCCCAAAAGTCAATGTATTCAAAATATGGCATGTTGTGAAATGGCATTGTTAATGTGGAGTAGGATGAGTGTTTTTTCAACCAACAGGCCTTCCAGGATTTTAAATTAATCATTATGCTTTCAATTGGCTCATATGTCTTCCATTGGAAATAAAGATTATGATATTGCCAATCTGCTGGCAGGCAGTGATATTAGTTGTGACAAGTACAGATGCAACAAAGATTGAATAAGCAGGTTGTAAAATAGGGCTACTCTAAATTGTCACAGAAATGAGGCAAAGAAATACAGCTTATTTAACATAAAATGCTATATGGGGCAGCTATTATTTTAATACCAATGTTTGATCTATTTTATATATGCTATTTAGACTATGAAATTCATTGAGAAAAAGAACGTTATTTTCTGGGCATTGCAGTGGAAACTGGAATTACTAAAATGACATTGCTGTCTCATTATTATATTGTACTATAATTTAGGCTTCTGGATAATATACAATACTTTGTCAGGCAATATTCACATTTGTAAGGAATTTATTGTCTGTGATGGTATATTCACACTCACTAAATTAATAAATACATGGACTTATGAGTGAAGACTTTGCCTATTTAATCAAGTGTATGACAGTCTGGGAAATTGTTGAGAGGTCCCACATTTGTGATAGTTTTCTGCAAGTGAACCACTAAGTACTTTTAAGGTCCTAATTTGTGCTAACAAGTAATGTGCTTTCAATGTGAGCAATGATAATTTCTGGATATGAATTGCTAAGAGAAGTCAGTAACTGGAAAAAATAACAGAACAAAGATAATGGTTAATTTGGAACTTCTGTCTCCATTCCAGAAAATCACTGCCCATTTGATGGAAGAGTCTTGCCGTATCTTTATTTACCAGGGTTGTTTAGTGCTCTGAAGCCATCTACTGCCTTAGAAATGGTTTATACATTCCACATTCAATTTTGCATCATCCCATTGAAGAACTGCACAAGAGAGACCATTTGAAGAGACATTAACCTGATGGGACTGATGAAAGTAAGGCTTTCTTTGTGACCTTCACCAAGGCAATGTACATGAGGGAGGTGCTATTGCTTTGTGTAGGGCCTGCATCCCTAAAGATAGCCTTGGTCACTAAGACAGTATTTACCTCCCCTTTAAAGAGTCTGTTTCTCAAGCCTACTTTCCTTGGAAGCAACTAACTAAAGTTTACACCTTGGAAATCAATCATTCAATGCTCTGGTTGCTTTAGAACAAGATATTTGTTCTGTCAGTCCATTTTAAAATTTGGGTTTACAAATTAGCTGGACTGGAAAATAGCTACAGGAGGAAAATTGATAGTATCAGAATCTCTGATGCTTGTAGCATGTCATTTCCCTACTCTCAAGTCCCAGTTTCCCCCCAGCATTTTGCATTCCAGATTTCTCAGCACTTTGATTTTGCTAAAGCCTTTATTTTTCATGTGATCAGTGCAGGCCCTTTCTACTGGATAGCAGAGGTTTTGGGAAAGAGAGTACCTCCAAGTTCCATCACTGGCTGTGATTTCATCAGCACCTCCCTCAGCTGCACTGAATACCAGGAGGTGCACAAGCCTTCTTGTTGCTTAAAGAGGGTGGGGGTTGTGGAAAGCAAAGCCTTAAGGTCAAACAAGTTCTGGAACTGACACATATAAAATAACCTGTTTTCTATAAAATATTTATTTCTTCAAATATTCACCAAGGTCGGTCACATTACCTCTGAAAGCTTATGTGCCCTGTCGTAATTCTTGCTGCACTGGAGCAACTGAGCAGCTAAATTGCAGTCCTTCCTATAGAGCTCCTAGAAAAACAAAAAATAGCCTGTTTTTAATTGACTTGGGGGAAATTTGGAGCATAGTTTAACTTTTACATGCATTAAGATTCCTTGTTTCTTGCATGGTCCTGAGACGTTTGTTCCTTTGCTCCTGAGAGCTGATAAAATTACTAAAAAAGAAAATTTCGAGAACTCTTGCTACAGAACACTAATCTGCATTTCAGAAGATGGATACTTACCATTAGGAGCTGGACTTTATACTGTTAGCATGCATGGTGCTATGAAGGCTAAAATAAATATGATCTTTTAAGTAAAAAGAAAATTAAGAACAGACAATTTTTACTGAGTATTATCCAGATTAGATGATACTAAAATGTTACTTTAGAAAATGCTCAAATAATCTTATGAGACTGTGGGAGAAATTTATTGCAGAAATATACATTATATTGTTTTCTAAAAATAAGGCTTTTGTCTCTTTATGAAACTTCCTTGCTGGTTCCTGACTCCTTCCATGTCTTGCAGGACAGAGCTATACAATTATATTAAATCTCAGTGCAAATATTTGATGCTGCAGAACAGGATATTTTTACTGGCTAAGAAATTACCATGAGAATTCCACACAGGGAAAAAGGAAATTTAAGCAAGCTACTTATATCGTTTTTGTATTGAATGGCTCCCACAGCCTATTTAATAGGTAAGTTCGCTACACAGATTTGCTCTTCATCTAAATTTAATGGCTGTGTAACTGTATCTTTCAACAGCATCTTTGGGTTCCTGAAGGTGAGAGTTGTATGTTGCTTCCCCTGACCTAGGTGCCATTACAAAAATGTTGGCTTCAGAAGTTGACTTTATAGGTGACCATAGATAGAGAAAGCATAAAGGTAGTATGGACACTAGGCCGTGTTAATCTGTGAAAATCAGAAAACGTTTATAAAGAAAAGGTGTTGAATATTGAAACAATTTATTTAATTTTTCTGTGGAATTAATGTTATCATTTTATCATATGCAGAAGTTTTCTATAAAAAGTAAAGGTAGAAATTCTCTCTGCTTTGAAATGCCATTTTAAAAGTATTCGGTAATATCAGGTGCAACAAGATGTTCCTGGGAGTCTGTGGGGCATGGGGTTGTAAATATAGTTTTCCTATGACCATTAGTTCATTATATCTTCATATTCAACGGTCTGTAGATACTCTTGGTTTGTAGTAGGATTTTTTTTTTTGTATCTATGTAAGCCTACATACATAACACTTCTGCCTTAAGTGTGCTGGGGAGATGCATTCATTTATGTAGGTCTTAGATTTTATACTAGAAGACATTGTTTTTATTCCTGAAAAATTCCTGGTTTTATTCCTGTGAAGCAGCAAACAGTAGGAAACCAAGAATTCAGTTTAGAAGCAAAATATGTTGTGTGCACATGTGATCCTGACATGTTACATGCACATTAAATGCATAATGCGGTGCAATGTATAACAGACAAGAACTCCAGGTCCCCTATGGCATTAGTAGGCACACAAAAATGAAATCACTCCAAAATCAAATCCTTTCTTCAAAAGCTGTGTGCCTCTGTTTCTGTGAAGTGGTTGTCATGGAGAGTACAAAAAGCATTTCTGACGCTTTATTTTTAGCAGCTTTAAAAATTACTACAGAAAAATGACATGTGAGTTAAAAGTGCCACGTGTACTTTGTTCTCCGTATGCTGGTACATGAGACTGGAGTGACTCTGTCCTTTGTAGTTTACCTGAATGGTAACAGGCCACATATGTGGCAGCTAGAACAGTAATTGGCAATTAATGCCAAAAATGTTTCCCATAATCTAAAACATGTATTTGCATCAAAAGCATAATTTTACGTATCTGTCAGAAGAATAAGGAGTAACATAAGTGAAGGAAGAAATACGGGCAAGACAAAAAGATGTTCTCTTCATGTAGGATTCTTCAGTTTAATACCAACTCTACTTATTAGATACAATCTTAATAGTTTGTTTCATAGTTCTTTATTTTAAAATTTGGAATTTATCCTTTACTTTCATTTGTGATGATACATAACTAAGGGCAAAATTCTGTCTGTGAATTAAACTCAAGTATAAAAAAATGGGAGGCTTTTGAATCAGTGTAAGCTGCCTTTTAAAAGCTATGAATATTGAAAACTCTTCTTCAAATTGGGCCCAAACCTGACCCCATGAAGTAGTGTAAATGCATGCATGCTTACTGGGAGAGTTTTACAGTTTTTTTTCCCCTTCTATTTTAAATCTCAAATAACTCCACTGATTTCAGCTGAGTTCCTCTGGATGTATATCTGTGCTTATAAAATCTAAATGTAGCCCATTGCATTTACCACATTCCATTAGTTACAGCTATTAGACTTATAAAGTAACCGTTGTTTCAACACAATTTCTGTCAAAGTAAAGGATCAGATTGTGAAGTCTTTGTTTCCGTTGGAAAGCTATTAATTGCATAGGCACAATTCACATCAAGAGGCATATTAATGGGATCAAATGCTCCCTGGTTTGATTAAGAGTTCATATGAAATATGGGAAGTTTTAATGTAAGATGCTGAAAAATAGGTGCTAACAGAAACATGTCTTCTGTAGATGAATTTTTTATTAAGGTTCTAAGGAATGGCATAATAATGAACTAAATGCCTGCACTCTTCCTCTCTTTGCTGCCTTTCTTGCCCTGGAAGGATTTTATGATCTTGCCAGCTGCAGTGTGCATGCCAGTTTTCAGCAGTGTTTAATGAGATGCAGGGTGACAATTGCAAGAGATGTTCCCTTTTTCATTCCACACAGAGACAAGTAAAATGTCACACATGAACCACAGCTGGGGAAAACCTGACTCTTTCCAATAATCTGAGCAACCAGGTTGGGTCAATCCTACTTTTTGCTAGTAGGGCTCACTTGTGCTGGGCATCTCATTTCAGTGAACAAAGATTGAAAGATCAGAGGAACTGCAGGAAATGTATGGGTCCACACTTAAATTCTTATGGTCAAGTCTCACTCCACACGTGTCCACATAATAGCTCTGAGCATGTGCTTCTACCAGTTTGCTGTGCCAGACTGAAACTGATGGCAAAATCAATACAGGAATATTGCCATTTCTCAGGACATTTTTTCATCAGTTTTGAGTTTGACATAAGGAAACAAACATAAATGAAAAGTCTAAGCCCAACCCGATAGCATAAGGAGAACTGAATTGACAAAAAAATGGAGCAATAAGCACGGATTATAACTATCAAGGTGACAAGTTACATTTTGTGTAAACAATAAGAAATTATTCTTTAAATTCATGGGCAGTGCATGGCTTTATTTCTGCATATAGTATCAAGATACATCCATAATTAGATACTTACATTGTCTTCTGACAACTTATCTATTGTCACCTTGGCCTCTATTAAGTGATTATTGAGTGCAATTATTTCATGGCTCAAAGCCCGTTTTTCCTCTTCATAATGTTGACCCTGTGTAGAAAATGGAGTAGTGAGTGTTTTTTCTACTGTCAGAATATTTCAGAAAAAGGCCCAAAGGTTGATGTAACTCTCAAATCCAGGGAAAAGCACAACAGACTTCCCCCCTCCTCCCTGTTTTTTACTGATTTCCTTCAGCAAACGAGGCAACGTACTTTAATAATATACAGATCAAACTGAACCCACATTAGGAACCTTCACAAAAGGCCATAGCTAGCCTGTGCAAAAGCATTTGACTGAGTATCAGCTATTCCTTCTTCATCACAAGACAGGGTTTCTAACTTGGAAGGGACTTGAGCTGATGTTGGCTTTTGCTACAAGAATGTTTCAGTTACACCATTAGCTCTCATTCTTGGTGGAGAGGTATAACAATATTGAAAAAGGAAAGTAGCTGTGTTGGAGCCAGTTTCCTTTTTAGCTGTTGACTGTTATGGCTGCTTTAAAACCCCTGAATGAAGATGTTCGTTTCTCAAGGTGAATGTTTGCCTGATTGCAGGGTTAACACTCATTAGCGAAATGCAGCCCCCTGTGGGATAACAGGAAAACCTCTCGCTGCCCACTAATTTAATCTTGTTACCAGTAGGCTGTAATTCTTTATTATAAATGCAAAGAAATCAGCAGGAAAAGTGCCAGTGGTCTGTCCCATACTGTGTCCCACTTTCATATTGCAGTGTTTATTGCACTGCCTCATATATCAAAAATTATTTTGAAACAATCATCCATATTTCTGTCTCCAGGCATATGTTAATGTTGAAAAGTATGGTAGCTTCTGAATGCTCCAGCTGAGATCAAGGCATCTTCTTTTGTGCTCAGAGTTGTACAAGACCATGATAACAAGGTTTGCCAGTTATCTGGAGCGTTGCAATAAGAACAGAACGGAGGGTAAACTTCAATGTACACCTGTTTCATTCTGCGAACTCAATCCAGTGGCTAATTTACAATCTCACTTCCATTCTAAAATTGTTAAAGTAATTTGTGAAGGACCTTCTCCAGTGGGATTACTGTATTAGCTACTGAAATTTCCCAAATGCGATATTTCTAGGGTCCCACAAAAATCTTCCTTTAACGCACACATGACATTGTCAGCTAATTGACAGCAATGGGAGTTCTCTGTTTTGAAGTCTGAATGAATATCAAGGTTAATTATCCAGCTGGAAGGCACCATGGTATGATAAAGAAGGGTGACTAAATTGGAAGTTGCAACTCTTGTGCTAAGTTGCTATTTAAAGAAAAACATCTTCTCAAATGGTCTAAGCATGCTCACTGCTCGCTTTAAACAGCACAGATATGATTTAAATGTCTTTGTGAAGGTCTGGACTATCCTGTGTCTATGTCAGCTTTTTTTTTTATCTGTTGCCTGCTGTTGCAAGACCTCTGTCCTGACAGACCAGCTGTGCCTTGAGGCTGGTTCAGGCTTGACACCTCTCCCATCCTCGTTCCCATGGATCAGGTGCCCCTGCTAGCTGCCAGGAGAGCTATATCATGGAGAGCCAAAGTGTGGTTTTCACAGCTTGCAAGAGCTCCAACCTCACTGATTTTAACAAGACACGTGATTTTAGGAGCTAGCATTTTAATTAGGCAGATCAACACAGTTTTATATGAAGCCCTTAACTCTTATTGATTTTGTTGTGAACCAAGCAACTAGGCACTTTGTAGACTTCCTGGACATCTGTACACCTCTGAAAATCTGACTCTTTTGAGAGTAAGACTGAAGATTATATTTTCAAAGGTATTTAGCTGCATAATGAAGTAGACAAGTGGCTAACTAAGTACCTGGGAAAAACATGTCCCCTCAGTTTTCCAAGTGATTTCATGCTTTTGAAGGATCCAGGTCCACTGAGTACAGACTTAATCTTCCAAATAAAGATTTTATCAGTCCTTGCATGAAAAGTTGTCAGTGGCAGGGCAGCTGATTTGCAGGACTGCCTTTTGTTCTAATTCTCTGATCTCAGTATGTGTTGCTTTCGCCTAACTAAATTGAACTATATATTGACATATATTTTACAGATCATGAAAGATCATCTAATTGATAACTTATAGCCTTCAGCAGAAACTCATAAACAGACAGAAGGATCGAGCCTTGGATGCAGTACTTTCCATTGCTTTGAGTAATGCTGAATCTGACTGAATTATGGTTTCCTTTTATTTCAGTTATGATAACTTTTGGGCTTTCTCTCTGACTGAGTGTGACTTTAAAAAATATTCTGTATTTGTTGAATGTAAAATTTGCTAATTCCAAATTTATACTCTACAGATAATTTTATACTCTTAGCAGATAAACACGGAACTAATTAATGAACATCCCAGCAGTGCTGTGGAGGAGGCAGAGTGAGAAAGAGGCCATTCCCAGTCTTCTTCACCAGTATGCGTTTGCATGTGCATGTCACTTTTGAGATCAGTGTTTTTGACATAAGCAAAGTCTGTCTCATTGTAGCACAATGAACCGGCTTAAGGATGGACAGGACCCTGAAGGGCTTTGCATGTGGATCACATACTGTGTGTCCATCTTTGAAAGTTCAGGGTTTCAGCTGGATTTTACTGTGGTCCAGAGGTGGCAACAAGAGAACAGAGACTTAACCCTGACACCACCTTGAACAGTGCAGCTGGAGTAGATGGTAGTGCTGGATCATTGCATTAGAAGGATTCCTGGTTACTGGGGACTGCAACTTTGAGCTCTCCAGTTCCAGTCAGACGATCATATTTTCAGCATCAGGTATAGATGTCAGAGAGGGATGAAAGGAGGATGGGAATCACAGTATCAATGCTGTGATTGTGAGTTACGAATAGAAATGCTTATTTCACTTACAAATACTTTTGGCAGCTCCCTCTATTTCTGGTAGCTTTTAGATGCCTGGTCCTCCTGCTCTTCCATAAGGACGGTGATGTCTCTACTTTTGACACTGTTTCCTGCTCTGGAGGTGCTAACAACCTCTCTCTCAAAACTCAGTAACAGATGAAGTTAATGATGTTATTGATATGCCAATAGCTTGCAGCTGGGTTGAGGGTTCCTTAAGTCCACTCCAAAATGCCATAGCTATAGGCTGGAAAGGGCTCAGCTTCTGATGGATCTTTGTTCAGAAATCTTTGTTGAGTCAGCTCAGTGCATCTTGCCCCTGCCTCCTTCCCCGGCACAGAGCCAGCATAAAAGAATACAGCTCCGTAGTGTTTAACTAACAGGAGAGAACTGCAGTCATGTGCCCACGTCTGAGTCAGAACAAATGTGCACTGCTGGGTGACTCCAGCAGTGCACAGCCCTCACAGTAATGTTGGGAGATCCAAGCTCTCACAGACCTTGTTCCTAGCCTGGATGAACCTCGCTGCTTCCTTCTCAGATCTGATGAGAGAATTTGGTATCTGCTCTTGACAAAGGGATCAAATGATATAATAAAAGATATAACCTCTGTGTGAAACTTTGTTTTTATTATAATTTGTATCTATCATAGTGACAACATCCCTCATATATTTACAGATCCACAAAAATATAAGGTGTCACTTTCAAAAGTGTTTGGTATAATCTAATTGCTGCATCTGTTATCTGTGGCATAAATGGGGTGAAAAGAATTTTGGTAGGTTAATGCAGCATGAAATAATTAATAGAGAAGTGTATTTTGGAAAGGGGCAAAAGCTGGATAAAAAGATCTTCTTTTCTTTCCTGTTAGTTGACCTGCAAAGGTTCCTACTCTAGTCCTTCAGCAGAAATGGAGCAGCCTAAAAGCTGGCTGTCTCTCTGGTAACGTTTCAGTCTCCCTTTAAGGCTTTCCAGCATCTGGAATGTGTCCTGCCTTAAAGCAGTGTTAGCCTATTAGTCTAGGCTAGGCTGCTTACTGTCACCTCTGTGCTCCTGCAGGAGCTTTGAGATGTGTAGAGACTTTTTGAAATCAGTCTCAATTTTGCAAATAAGCAATGCAGGTCTGTGGAAATGTCAGCCTTTTCAAACATGGCAAAGTAAATCTGCTCTTCATGTGCCTGTAAGGAGCATTTTAATGTATAGCATTTCAATGATACTGTGAGAATAATCCAATGGTAGTAGTGACCATCAAGGTATCAGTGGTCAGAAGCATTCCTTTGGAAATAGCTCTTCATAAGTAATGCCTGAATGATAGACAAAAAGAGAGACGTGTTCAGTAATGAATACCATCCAAGTGGCAAAGGTACCCCATCCTGAATGCCTGCACAGAAGTTTACTCTGATGTTTCTGGATGCAGAATACAGGCAGAACTTCTTTCTTCACTACTGTGCTTGTCCAGGAGGAAGATAATACTTCCTGAGGAGAAATTCCCCACCTTTTTTAGACCAGTGTAACACTGTTACCTTAGTACTTTTCTCACAGAGGACTACTCATAATGTTTGTAAATATTAATAGGTGCTGTAATGCGCCTGCTAAGCAACTGGAATGTATTTACTGTTCTGTGGATCACAGTAAACAAGTTCTTACAGGGGTATTCTTTATATAAGGTCTGCACATTTTAAGGAGGCACATTATAATCTCATTGAAACCATGAAGGACAAAACAGTGCAGTTGCAGATGACAGAAAACCATGAGGAGCAGCTGATACACCAGAGGGTTGTGCTGCCATTCTGAGGGACCTCAACAGGCTGGAGAAATGGACTGACAGGACCCTCATGAAGTTCAACAAGGAGAAGTGAAGTGTTCTGCATTTGGAGGAACAAACCCATGCACTGATGTATGCTGGGACCCACCCAGATGGAAAACAGCTTTGCAGAAAAAGACCTGAGCCAGGTGGACATCAAGTTGAGCATGAACCAGCAATGTGCTTTTGCTGTGGAGAAGGCACAAGGTAACCAGAGCTTCATTAGAAATGTTGCCAGCAAGTTGAGGGAGGTGACCCTTCCCCTTTACTCAACACTGGTGTGGCTGCACGTGGAGCACTGTATCTAGCTGAGGTCCTCAGTACAAGAGAGACATGGACATATTGGAGAGAGAAACCAACAAATAGCCAGGAAAGTGATTAAAGGATTGGAGCATCTCTGTT